ATGCCACCCCCAATGATGGTAAATACCACCCCCAATGATGGTAAATACCACCCCCAATGATGGTAAATGCCATCAACTAATGATGGTAAATACCACCCCTAATAAATGCCACACAAATGATGGTAAATACCACCATTTATGATGGTAAATACCACCCTTAATGATGATAAATACCACCCCTAATGATGGTAAATGCCACCCATTATGGTGGCAAATGACACACCTAATGATGGTAAATACCACCCCTAATGATGGTAAATACAACCCCCAATGATGGTAAATGCCACCAACAATGATGGTAAATACCACCCCTAATGAATGCCACCCAATGATGATAAATACCACCACTAATGATGGTAAATACCACCACTAATGATGGTAAATACCACCCCTAATGATCGTAAATGACACACCTAATGATGGTAAATGCCACCACTAATGATGGTAAATACCACTCCTAATAAATGCCACCCCTAATGATGATAAATACCACCAGTAATGATGGTAAATACCACCCCTAATGATGGTAAATGCCACACTAATGATGGTAAATGACACCCCTAATGATGGTAAATGCCACCACTTTGATGGTAAATACCACCACTAATGATGGTAAATACCACTCTTATGATGGTGAATGGCACCACTTTGATGGTAAATACCACCACTAATATGTTAAATGTCACCCTTAATGATGGTAAATGCCACCACTAATATTGGTTAATGCCACCACTAAAGATGGGAATTACCACCACTAATGATGGCAAATGCCACCCCTAATATCGGTAAATGCCACAAATAAAGATGGGAAATACGAACACTAATGATGGCAAATGCCACCCCTAATGATGGTAAATGCCACTCAATGATGGTAAATGCCACCCCTAATGATGGTAAATGGCACCACTTATGATGTTAAATGCCACCCTTAATGATGGTAAATGCCTCCACTAATGATGGTAAATGCCACCACTAATGATGGTAAATGCCACCACTTATGATGGTAAATGCCACCACTAATGATGGTAAATGCCACCACTAATGATGGTAAATGCCATCACTAATGAAGGTGAATGCCACTCAATGCTGGTAAATGGCACCACTAATGATGGTAAATGCCACCACTAATGAAGGTGAATGCCACTAAATGATGGTAAATGGCACCACTAATTATGGTAAATGGCACCACTAATGTTGGTAAATGCCACCACTAATAATGCTAAATGCCACCACTATTGATGGTAAATGCCACCACTAGTAATGGTAAATGCCACCACTATTGATGGTAAATGCCACCACTAATGATGGTAAATACCACCACTAATAATGGGTAATGCCACGACTTATGATGGTAAATGCCCCCACTAGTAATGGTAAATTCCACCACTATTGATGGTAAATGCCACCTCTAATGATGGTAAATGCCACGACTAATGATGGTAAATGTCACCACTATCGATGGTAAATGCCACCAATAGTAATGGTAAATGCCACCACTAATGATGGTAAATGCCACCACTAATGATGGTTAATGCCACCAATAGTAATGGTAAATGCCACCACTAATGACGGTAAATATCACCACTATCGATGGTTAATGCCACCACTAATAATGGTAAATGCCACCACTAATGATGGTAAATGCCACCAATAGTAATGGTAAATGCCACCACTAATGATGGTAAATATCACCACTATCGATGGTTAATGCCCCCACTAATAATGGTAAATGCCACCAATTATGATGGTAAATGCCACCACTAATGATGGTAAATGCCACCACTTATGATTGTAAATATCACCATTATCGATGGTTAATGCCACCACTAATAATGGTAAATGCCACCAATTATGATGGTAAATGCCACCACTAATGATGGTAAATGCAACCACTAATGATGGTAAATGCCACCACTAATGATGGTAAATGCCACCACTAGTAATGGTAAATGCCCCCACTAATGATGGTAAATGCCACCACTAATGATTGTAAATGCCACCACTAATAATGGGTAATGCCACGACTTATGATGGTAAATCCCACCACTAATGATGGTAAATGCCACCACTAATGATGGTAAATGCCACAACTTATGATGGTAAATATCACCACTATCGATGGTTAATGCCACCACTAATAATGGTAAATGCCACCACTTATGATGGTAAATGCCACCACTAATGGTGGTAAATGCCACCACTAATGATGGTAAATGCCACCACTAGTAATGGTAAATGCCCCCACTAATGATGGTAAATGCCCCCACTAATGATGGTAAATGCCCCCACTAATAATGGGTAATGCCACAATGATGATAAATACCACCACTAATGATGGTAAATACCACCACTAATGATGGTAAATGCCACCACTAATGATGGTAAATGCCACCACTTATGATGGTAAATATCACCACTATCGATGGTTAATATCACCACTAATAATGGTAAATGCCACCACTTATGATGGTAAATGCCACCACTAGTAATGGTAACTGCCACCACTAATGATGGTAAATGCCACCACTTATGATGGTAAATGCCACCACTGACGATGGTAAATGCCACCACTTATGATGGTAAATACCACCACTAGTAATGATAAATGCAACCACTAATGATGGTAAATGCCACCACTAATTATGGTAAATGCCACCACTAATGGTGGTAAATGCCACCACTAATAATAGTAAATTTTACCACAATGATTATAAATGCCACCATGCACTAATGATGGCAAGATTTCAAAATCTTGAGATCACAGTGATGATCTAAATGTAATACATCTTGTAAAACTAAGAACAGTTTTTTTTATGCCGTTTTCGTTTTCGTCTTCTTTCGTTTGATACATTGAAAGCATGCGGATTAGCTATATTGTTCTTACACTTATCTTTGAAATCGCACGAGTTTAAGAAACCAAATGGCTTATAAACCTTGTCAGCATCAAGAATTGTATCTGAAAACTGATTACATTACAGGGAAAGAATATAAAAACAGTGCATTAGTTGAATATTTAACGATGCAGATAAGTATACCTGATGCTTCTAATCTTTAGAGTTCCATCATTTTTTTTTTGAATTTGAATTTGAATATATATTTATTGTAAATATCAAAACATTGATTTTATTCTGAAGTATAAAAATCAAAATCAAACTGTGTATGAAACTGACAATCTATTTACAGTTCCATGAAATTGATTCTTTCGAATTTAAATTTATTTATTGTACACATCTAAACATTGATTTTTTTCTAAAGTTTTGAAATAAAAATCAAACTGTGTATGTCTGTGATTCAAACTGACAATCTATTTCAGATAAAACTACAGGTTGTTATTTACATTTTTACTAACTTAATAGAAAATCAAATTTTCGTCACTCATCATGTTAACGGGACTTCATTTAACTTGATTCTAATTTCGGTTGTTTCAAATAACATTTTATCGAAGGGAAACGCTACTAGCTCTTGAAATTTAAAGTGAGCATATTAATTCTAGAATTGCAAATGGCCACTATCAGGAACATTTTCTTTTTTTTATAATTCCTGTCGCTTATGCAAGTCGAATTAATTCCAAGATTAAAATACAGCTGTGACAGTCTTCATTATTTTATATAGGCGATAATTCAAATGTTCACTTTTATTACTTTTCTTTAAAATGTAAATGTAGACTTGGTATTAGCTGATTAGACATTCACAGGAAATGACAGGACATTTGAAAGGTACACTTTACACACATAGTTTGATGACGCAATTGAAAGGCAAACAAAAAATGATGACTCATTTGAGAGATGCACAAACAACATACAATAATAAAATTGCAGTCCAAAATATTTCATAAAAACAGTATAAATACTTAGTATCAGCTGATAAGAAGTACACAGGCACTGATAGTACACAAAGTTTGATGACGCAATTGAAAGGCACACAAAAAAAATGATGACTCATTTGAGAGAAGCACAAACACATACAATGATAAACTTGCTGTAAAAAACATATTTATGGGAGATAACTCTAGTTCTGGTGTAATATATAATTTCAGATACATCCTTATGTTAGGTCACATCATGGCATTCCCCTCTTGCATAAAAAAAAAAAATCAAACTTGAGACGTGTCAATTTCAAAAGGACTCTTAAAATGTCCATGATCAACACAATGATGAATGGGAGACTGCATGAATAAATGTTTAAAGAATAGTTGTGAAAATTGTAATGTGTATCAATTATTTTTTAAGCAGGGTCGCAATACTTAATGAATGTTTGCATGACAAATATAATTTAAAATCAAGAGTCGTGTCAGTTTCACAGGGACACGTGACATATAGGCGATCAATCATTGTGCACTTTTACAATAGTTTCGCATTGACATAATTGCTACTAAAATGATTTTTTTCTCCAAATATTGAAAAAAAAATGCATTAACGTTTGATTGTGTACTTTTTCGTTAAAAAGGAAACTTGATACACATTTGAATTGTCCTTTAACCAATCAATATACTTGTTACACAGAGTGACATGTTTATTATCCAATCAATGGTCTCGTTGTATCAATATTTGCTCCGTCTGTCTCGATTTTGTTCTATGTCAGGAATAAAACACATTTGACAATTCAGTTGTTTGAACAGACCGCAAAAACGTCGCTATCGGCAAAGTTTGCTTGAATAAATGCATTTTTGAACTCAATAGAAGTGCATTATTTTGTAATAATATATCCTTAAAAATTGATTGGCAGACACACAAAAGAAAAACCAAACAAAAGTAAGTGGAACATGAGCTATTTTCAGGATAAACGTTTCTTGGACTAAATGTGGCCCCGTTCATGACGTTTTCTGGAAAATTCAGCAAAATATATCGGCTCAATCGAAAGAAGACCCATAAAACCTTCATTTTTATCGTGAATTCAATAAAATCGTTAAATATGTATTAAGATCTATTTTCGCTGACTAACGAACTATATATATACTTTTGATTGGTATGGTTTGTTTGTGTTTTACGTCCTATTAACAGATACGGTCATTTAGGGCGTGCCAGGTTTTGGTGGCGGAGGAAAGCCAGTGTTTCCGGAGAAAAAGCACCGACCTGCGGTCAGTACCTGGTGACAGCCCCACGTATAGGCCTCGAACCAACGACCCAGTAGTGGAGGGTTAGTGGTAGCAGAATGTCAGACGACTTAAACCCTTGGCCACCGCGGCCCCATATATATACAAAACAATGCTTTATTATGGAAGTAAAAAAAAAGCATAGATTCAGTTACATAACAAAATGTAGATAAGTATAAACAAAAGTTTTAAAGCTTTGTCAGAAGTATTAACTTCGTTTGATAGTTGCTGACTGGACTTCTGTAAGGGGCTATCCGCCGACATCGCACAGTATAATCTAAACTGTCTTAACTTTAAACGAGACAAAATTTCAGCAATGGGTTAGTGGAAACTTTATAACAAATACTATCAATGTGATAAAAATATTGAACAGCAGATCCTTATTAACAACGACTGCTGTGGTGTCCTTTACAATAAACCATTATCAGTAGTGTATTATCTCCGTAAGCTAGACCCTTATCAACAGTGCCTGGTTTTGTTTCTCCATCATAACAGATCCTTATCAACAGTGCCTGGTTTTGTTTCTCCATCATAACAGATCCTTATAAACAGTGCCTGGTTTAGTTTCTCCCTACAACAGACCCTTATCAATAGTGCCTGGTTTTGTTTCTCCCTACAACAGACCCTTATCGATAGTGCCTGGTTTTGTTTCTCCCTACAACAGACCCTTATCAATAGTGCCTGGTTTTGTTTCTCCCTACAACAGACCCTTATCAATAGTGCCTGGTTTTGTTTTCCCTACAACAGACCCTTATCAACAGTGCCTGGTTTTGTTTTCCCTACAACAGACCCTTATCAACAGTGCCTGGTTTTGTTTTTCCCCACAACAGACCCTTATCAAGAGTGCCTGGTTTTGTTTCTCCCTACAACAGACCCTTATCAACAGTGCCTGGTTTTGTTTCTCCCTACAACAGACCCTTATCAACAGTGCCTGGTTTTGTTTCTCCCTACAACAGACCCTTATCAACAGTGCCTGGTTTTGTTTCTCCCTACAACAGACCCTTATCAACAGTGCCTGGTTTTGTTTCTCCCTACAACAGACCCTTATCAACAGTGCCTGGTTTTGTTTCTCCCTACAACAGACCCTTATCAACAGTGCCTGGTTTTGTTTCTCCCTACAACAGACCCTTATCAACAGTGCCTGGTTTTGTTTCTCCCTACAACAGACCCTTATCAACAGTGCCTGGTTTTGTTTCTCCCTACAACAGACCCTTATCAACAGTGCCTGGTTTTGTTTCTCCCTACAACAGACCCTTATAAGTAGTGCCTGGTTTTGTTTCTCCCCACAACAGACCCTTATCAACAGTGCCTGGTTTTGTTTTCCCTACAACAGACCCTTATCAACAGTGCCTGGTTTTGTTTCTCCCCACAACAGACCCTTAT